TAAAAATTCTAGACGCCATCGATCGATAATCTCTGCTAAGTCATATATTCATAAAATTATTTAATTCCCAATAGGGGAGGCATTACTCTGGAGCGAACAAGCAGATCCCACAAATTTCGAGACAACATTATGGCCACGTGCTGCAGTTACCGCTGAAATTCTCTGGTCTGGGAACTATGATAGTACTGGCGCAAAGCGAGATGTCAATGAAGCATTGCCGAGATTGACAGAGTTTAGGTTTAGATTGGTTGGGAGAGGTATTCGTGCAGAACCGCTGCAGCCATTATGGTGTGCACGAACCGGAACTTGTGATCGTCCATAAAATGATTGTTCGTTAAAATGATAGGCTTTATTAATTAACCACGAGTGTTATCACAAATAAATATACATATTTTTTCAAAATAGCTGTTTGACAAAAATATTTCACAATCTTGCTTTAAATTGGGCAGCATCAATTTCTGGTCCATGTTCTCCAAGCAGATGTCGTCTCAGATACGGGTTTAAGAAGGTTCCCTCGGGATCTAATTTCTCGCGAAGTTCAAGAAAATCTTTGAATTTCGGGTATGTCTTTGTTAGTTCATTTTTTGACATTGTGTGTGCCTGAATTTTATCAATTTGAATTTGTTAGTCTTTAATTAGTTTTATTTAAAAACATATCTTTGGTGGTGGAAATAGTTGCCTTTGCCCAGTGAGGTCGACCATCACATTCACGCATAATTTGTTCATAAGCAGCCCAGTATTTCTTGTATGGTACTGGTTTATTATAAGGTCTTTAAATAATAAAATTATTAATGCTCACGAATACCGTTCAAAAAAATTTAACCTAGAAAACATACACACCTATACATAATAATTCCAATATAACAAGTTTTCCTCCCATAAGACGGGCTTAACCAAATATCATCTTGATCCACAAATCTTACTTCAATAGGAAAATGAACATAAATTTTTTTCTCATTTTCTTTTATCCATTGATCAAGTTTTCTTAACGCCTCAGCAGTTCTTTCCAACGGGATCGCCCATTCGTTGACATACTGCTGAAATAAACAATCGAAGTTGAAAACTTTATATGAATCATCAACCACCAGTGTATCTTCGTTAAATTTTATCAGGAACATCAAGTGTGCGAGCAGTGGGATTGTGAATGGATAAAATCGTGTCAGGTAGAGAAGAAATTGGTAGAGATGATATCCAATAATCGTTTCACGAAAGTACCCGATTGTTTCTGATTGCTTCGCCTATTTAAAAAGGTTTGATTTAAATTGTCATGAGAAAATAGTCAAAATAGTTTAGCGATTTATTTGCCTTTATTGTC